CTACACCAACTGCTTATTACTTTTGATGATTGCTGAAAAACTCTTCGTGGTGAAGGTGGGAATTTTCTCTAATGAAAACGAGATTCTGCCGAAAATGTTTTACACACCAAAATCTGCGGAATCTTACTCAAAATGTATCGAAGAGCTGCCTGATAAGTGCAAACAAGTCATTGAAAATAATGGTAACTATATAATTGAATAAAATGTAGTTGTACTTTATTTTTTAAAGAAAGAAGTTGATAAACAGAAAATATCTATGACTCAACCTAATATCTAAGAGCGTTGTGACTAGTACGTCTCAAAACAACCTACGCTTGGGATGAATTGTGACTATTTCTTAACGTCATAGTTGGAGCCGCCTCAACTCGTTATCATCGCAGACAAAACAGATCTGTTTTGAAGTCTGTTATATTTACGCAGGCTGGGAAAGCAAGGACAGTATTGGTGAGTTGCTGACAAGATTTGAGTCTTCTCTGTATGAGACAAAGATGATAAACTTGCGTGTGTTGCGTTGAAATAGACGTGTAAGATTTGTATTTGGGTTCGTGTCAGAAGCCGCAACGGGAACTTCTTTTTCGCCTTTTACCAAATCTGGCAATTGGGACGCACGGGTGAACCAATTGAAAAATGTGAATAGAGTGGGTCATTGAATATTCATAGTCACAAACAATGAGAGCCGCAGAGGCCGGACGGGCAAGTGATGCAGCGGTCAGATAAAACATGAATGATGAAGATTGGCTGCCGGGATAATAAATCATCCGAACAGATTGATAATGGTTATGGGACAATGGAAAACTGATTTATTTAGACTATTCATTTAAATAAATAAAAAAAATAACGGAAGAATTAGAGCCACAAGGACAAGGAAGAATGTAAGCTTTTCTGTCTTCCGTATTTGTTTGGTGGTTGCTAAACAATCGATTAATAAGCGTCGGGTTCAATTTGCAGGATATCTTCCTTTTCACCGTTTGAATTTATAATTCATTTAGACGAGCTACAGTCTATTTTTGCATCACGAGTTCCGTAACCCAAGGGTTGGATGGGCACCATCCTGCAACGAAAATAACAGTGTCTAGGTCAAGATAACCTGACGCATCCCTTCAGGTTGGTTTTGAATTCAGACTTTTCCTTCTCCTAGACCGGTTGCCAATTCAAGAGTCCAACCACCCATAGCTAGTGGAAGAAGAGGTGGATTTATACCATTCTCAATGCTATTTGTGTCTATGTAAGCGTAACGAACACTGCCGGATTTCGAACTCGGATTGCCGAGTCCTTTTTCCGAGTCGCTAACCATTACAGAACTCTCATCCAATCAGTAGCTTTAAATTGTTTTGAATTTTTACAAGTAAAATCCCACTTTTAAACATAATCAAAGCTTATTAATATGTAAATCTTTCCTATGCAAATCGTACAGAATGGGACAAAGAGAATATTTTTGTACAGATACATTTCTATCTGTCGATTTAATGGGGGGGGGATGCAGTATAAAAGTTTTTCTTTTCTTTTCTTTTGATGTTGTCTTTGAGTCTTGTTATTTGTTCATTTTTTAACCAATGAGTTACTGCCATTTTCAAAAAGAAAAATAGGCGAGTAATATTCAAGAAAAAGTAAGCGAGTAATATATATATATATATATATATATATATATATATATATATATATATATATATATTCAACTTACTTTCAACTAGATGTTTAATTATGACATTTTGCGTCCTTCACATGTTATGACTGACCTTTCAACCACGTGATAAGCATTAATGAACTTTCTCAAATTTAAAAGCCTTGATAAACCAGTGACATCCTTGCTTTTGTATATGAACACTTGCAACAAAATAAATCCTACATTGCCTAAAGTCCCTCAAAGGGCGAAACGCATCGATAAAGAATAGTCTTTGCCCTTATATATATATATATATATATATATATATATATATATATATATATATATATATATATATATATATGTTGTGTGTGTGTGCTGGTGGTACTATGGATAGTGGTTCTGAATGAGAAATCGGTGAGACAAGGTTGAAGTCCAGACGAGTTCATTAAATTTACTTATGGACAAATAACCTTGTGAAAAGGTATGAATCCGTCTGTTCGTTCCTCCTGGCTTTGGGTTAAATAATAAGGCAGACTGGGCTCTTGATTGGCAGCCAGTCTAGGAAAAGGGCAACAATGAATTCAAAACCTAAGGTCACTAGAGATATCACAATGACTAATAGCATTACATAACATCTTTTCACATGAGTATATCATGCAACTTCATATATCCAGATATTACTTTTACATTTTGTTAATAGATGCTATATCGAACCCGCAACAGACATTGCTGCTCTTAAAAAGAATTGGGAAATCTACACATTATTACATACACAAAACACACAAATACACACACACACACACACACACACACACACACACACACACACACACACATATATATATATATATATATATATATATATATATATATATATATATATATTTGGTTGCATAGATGTGAGTGACAAACTCACATCTATCCAACCAAATATGTTAACTCTATCTCTGATATTGAACGCTTTCTAATAAGTACTGCGTATATAATATATAAATAATTATATATATATATTTATTTATATACACTTTTCACAAACATATATATATATATATATATATATATATATATATATATATATATATATATATATATATATATATATATATATATGTGTGTGTACGCACACACGCAAATGGATTCTCTCGTCGTTTCCGATGTGCGAGTGTACAGCAGCTCAGTTCTTAGACAGCCAGACTACCCACGCATATGATTGAGTATAGTGGTGAAGGCTTGTGCAGAACCAAGAACACATTTTAGAAGAACTGAATACAAAGAACTGGATATGCGTGTGGCACGATAGATAGATAGATAGATAGATAGATAGATAGATAGATAGATAGATAGATAGATAGATAGATAGATGTTCATGCGATTTATCACTTGTCTGACTCAAAGTGTCACGTATTTCTCATTTATTGTCTGTTCTTGACAGGAGAGATTTTACGCGAGTCGGTCAAGAGGTAAGTCACTTGAATATTTATTAATGAATTGACAATTGTCTGTCGCTCTAATTATCTAATAAGGCCTTTCTTGAGAAAAATTCTGTTGCCATTAAAATACGTTAAATTCTAATCATTTTATGTATTTTAATAGGTGTTATATATATATATATATATATATATATATATATATATATATATATATATATATATATATATATCGTGGACACCCGTCGTATTTGACGTATGAAGGTCAAGCAGCTCAGTTCCTAGGAACCTACAGCCAGACACCAGCACATATGATTTGATTATAATGGTTAAGGCTTTGTTCAGAACCAATATATATATATATATATATATATATATATATATATATATATATATATATATATATATATATATCGATAGCTAGCTATGTAAAATTTAGATATAACTAAAAAGATATCTATAAAAGGACAATGTGAATAAAGGCAAAAGGGAAACTTACCTTAGCTGATGCCTTTCGTCTTTTGATGGGCTTCATCAAGGCAAATGGTGAAATTTTCCTTTTGTCTTTATTCATATATGTGTGTGTGTGTACCCGAAAAAAAAGAACCTATTCTAATGTCCACAGCTGCAGCTGTGAAGCCGTTTGCATTTTGTTGGGTGGGAACCCATAGTAATAAAGAGCATGCACTGTTGCTTATAGGGGTATGAACACAAAAGAGGTAAAACGTTTCACAACATAGACGGTAGATGAGCGATAAAATTATAAACTTCTATAATGAAAGTTCTTTCCCGCTCTTTTAAAATCAGTAAACAATGGTATCCCTAAAATTTGAAATGTTTAAAAACAATTTTTCTTTGTCTTACTTTGTTTTATAATAAATTTGATTTTTGAATTCAAATGTACAAATAGTCTTTGTTGTAAAGAAGGTCAGGTTGTTTTGACCTTTCCTAAAAACAAGTAGTGACTCAATATGTGAAGGCGGGTAGGCGCGGTTGTAAACATGTTTAACATAAGCATACCCAGATACAGAGTGACATAAAAAAAACACCTACGCTTGTATACAAAAAGATGTCTGATGTCAGCGATTGTTAATAAGCTTATTTAGCAGGTTATTAACAGTGTAATAACTTCGAATGTAACTAGGCACTCTCTTCTTATGGTCCTGTACCAGACTAATTTAAGCTAAGCTAAGAACGTTCAGAGAAAATGTTTCATGGTGCATCACGTAAAAGATTATTTTTACGATCCATTCATAAATAGTGTTGGTCTGAAAGAGCAAGCTATCTTGATACTTTGATAGAGACGTTGATATTTCTATTGTCCAGGTATTTTTAATTCGACCTCGGTCGAGAGACCATCGAATCCGCAACGCCATACTGCAATTGTCAACCCATAATCTTTATGATAGTGTGTGAAGCTCTGTGAAATTGTTCTATTAATAACATCACGTACATTTGAATTTGAATTTTAATGTCCCCCAAAATGGCATGAATTTGTCAAAAAGCCTTGTCTACAATACACACAACAATTAGATCCTGATATTTACTCAGACAGTCAAATGTACACGAATAAAAACATAGTATGCGATGAACCAAGGCTACATACCTAGTAACCCAAGATCGGGACAATTCTCTTCTAACTAGAGAATTATCACTGTAGTGAAAATTAAATTAAGATTTAAGCATATGCTAAGCGGAAGAAAGAAAGTGGCTTGATTGATTTGATTTTTACGGCTTATCAACATTTTGCAGGTTATTTAAAGTCAGAAAATATAGAACATTTTGGAGAGAATAATGATTTACTGATAGAAGTTCTACTAATTAACACATAGCAGGGGAGAGAAGTGGTGGATTCATACCTTTACCCAAGGGGATTTGCCTGTAAGTGAATACAACGAACCCGATTGGAATTGAAACTCGGCTCTCCGATTTCAAATACCGAGTCGTTATTTCACCGCACATCCAAGCTTACAGTACCTGGTATTCCCATGTGGTCACCCATCTATGTACTGACCAGTCTCGATGTTGATTAACTTCGCTGATCATACGATAACAGGTGTTTCAACGTGATATGGAGGTACGCCCGAAGGAAAGTGCAACAGAACAAAGGTTTGAAATGGCCTACTCCACAGTCCACATAGGGTGAAAGTTAACGTTTACTCCTGGTTTTGTAAATAACACACAAATTGGTTTTGAATTCTGAGTTGTCCTTCTGGACAGATTACAATTACAGGTGAACAGAACAGTCTGCCATTTAATCTATATTTGCGGAAAATTAGTATTAATATGATTCCAAGAGTTTGTGAACTACAGATCATATTATTTTAGAATCTTTATTTTTGTTGTTACTATGTTACTATCACTACGTGCACGTGCGTGCGTGTGTTATGTACTGGTGGTGCAATAGTTAGCTGGTCAGAAAGAGAAATAGGCATGTTGAGTTCGAATTCCAGCCAGGTTTGTTACATCGATTTTCGCGCCCTTACTCTTGTGAAATGTATGAATCTATCTCTTCCCACACCTCCAGCTATGGATTAAATAAGATGGTTGACTGCACTCCCTACCAATGGTTGGCAACTCTGAATTACAAAACGGTATATATCACATCCGATGCAGCCATCGATAAAAACATGAAGTTAACAATGACTCTATAATCTCGACTGTGCCGATGTATCACACACACACACACACATATATATATATATATATATATATATATATATATATATATATATATATATATATATATATATATATATAGTTTTAAGGTATGCTGTATTTATGGGTAGAAGTGCTCAATATACAGGATAAAGCGTGTATAAATAGTGCGGATACTGAGGACAATCTATTTCATGCTTGAACGCAATCTTCAGGCCCTGTGTGTTGGACTATTTTTATATTATTGGGCATTGTGATATATATATATATATATAGTGTATTTAGGCAGCAATCCTTCATTTATACATGTTTTATAAACAAACTTGCCAGACTCCATCCGAAAAAATACTCGTAGAATATACAAAAATAATAACCTGATCCACATGTAGAAAAAAAAGATAATATAAATAATAATAAAAAATAAGAAGCCAATACTTAATAATATTAACTACGAATACAGGCACAAGGAGCAGTGTTCGGAAAATAAAGCATCTCTATTACACTAAAAACATACACACAACCTACACAGCCTACACCCCCAATTAATTTGAAAAAATAAAATCGTCCTTGATAATGGTTAAAAGTATAGCTAAAAGCTCTCGAGATTACAGAACATTTGAACAGTTTCTACACACTCTGTGTCCAAAAAAGAAAACATTTGTTCGAACGCAAAAAAAAAATTAAATAAAAAGCTTAATCGTAGTACCTTGTCTGTCATCTTTAATGAAACACATACACACACGCACGCACACAGATAATATTACTTAACTTTTAAATATCAAGGAATAAAATTAATATTTAAAACTTATGTTTTCATATAATGTTATTAACGGTCTATTTTTAATATTATTTTAAATTTTTTAATATTGAGCACTATATATATATATGTGTGTGTGTGTGTGTGTGTGTGTGTGTGTGTGTGTGTGTGTGTGTGTGTGTGTGTGTGTGTGTAATTAAGATGTTAAATATACTCGTTTCCGGTGTGTGAAGCTCTGTGAAACTTTTCTATAGATAACATGACGTACGTTTGAATCTTAAATATAATGTCCCAAAATTGGTATGAAGTTGTCAAAAAGCCTTGTCAACCATACTCACAACAATTAGATCCTGATAATTACCCAGTCAAATGTACCCGAATAAAAACATAACAAAAATATTAAATTTGGATATTTTTTTCTCAATTTTGATCAGGTGTCACAGATTATTCGAAAAATGGAAAAATACAATAAAGGATTAAATATACAGCGCTTGTTGATTGAATGTAATCTAACTTGTTTTTAAATATATATTTTTAAATATTTCCTATTCATATAATGATTACATTTACCGGGTAAATGTATTTAAGTAGAAAAAACCTTTTTTTTAGCAGTGAATCTATTGACCTAGAGATCGAAATTCATATTAACGAAATTATGCCTCCTGACAGGAATCGGAGTTGCATTCCCTTTATAAACTGGGAAAACACCTTCAGCCCAGGAGTGCTCTTTGTCATTAAACTACGAGAAGCCATTACGGTAATGTAAGGTTTAATTATCCTATTTAGAAAATGATACTCTTAATGTCTATACAATACGTGTGCACATCCATTGTCTAGTCTACGTGAATGTTCGGCAAACATTAATGAGTATCAAGGTCTTTTTTCACACAAAAAAATGTCAGCTACATGCCTCTGCTTCATACGCACTTTCATGTCAGACGCCATCTTGACAGGCTGCCACTCAGCTATTATCTGCAACAAGGAAAAAAATTATAGATTATTGACAAGAATGTTCAACCTCCACTGATAATTGACGAACATAACAACTTAGGAAGTAGTCCTCGCATAACACACATACACAGACACGCACACACAGTGAATAGTTTATATTTGAACATGAACCGGAAACCAGGAAAATTATCTGAAACATAGAAAAATGAATTTAAAACATTCTTAACAAAGAACTTTCGTTGGTTTTAAACCAAATTTCAATAAATGAGAAATTGCTTCGCAAACTCAAATGTATGTATGTATGTATGTGTGTGTGTTTCTTTTACGGTATTTACATCATTTTCCCGCCTCTTCATTTGATACCAAAAGCGGCACTAGTTTATTATTGCAATTATTAAATGTTCTTAAGCCGCAGCCATTGGAGTGTGTTGTTCACACTTTTCCTCTTTTGGCGCAATATAGAGGTGGTGCCTGAAGGCCGGATTCCAAGGTTCAGTTTTTTTTTCTGTTAGTTTCAAAACCAAGGAGTGTTGCGTTCGTTTTCTGAAAATGATACATTATGTCCTGCAGGTCGATGCGTATATAGTAAGGGTTATTTTTTTATTTTTTTTTTTTAGTCGAGATTTCATCTTACATGATTCACGTTTAATTTCTCAATTCTGGAATTTTTTTTTAAATGCAATATGGAATTTTTCCCAGAATTAACAATTGGTTGCCAGAATTTTTAAGTCTCATTCGACTTCAGTGGATATATATATATATATATATATATATATATATATATATATATATATATATATATATATATATATATATACTCCTAGTAACCTGTTTACAGCACAGAAAAGCTGGGCGCTTTTATTGAGGCACTATCTCTAGAAAGGTTACCGAATATGGCTCTAGACCCCTTCCGGGCCTTGAGGAATTATTAAATTTTAAAACTTCTTTTAATATTATCCCAAGAGTTGGTAACTCAATCTACTTAAAATTAATAAAAAAATTAATGTTTAAATATACATACACCATATACATACATAGAAAAATGCATAAATAAACAGACATATATAATTTACATTGGATATCGAAATAAACAGTTTGTCATTAAATTTACCACTTATTTTTATTAATTGATGTTATTATAATTTCAGTTTAAACGATAAATAATAGAAACCAATCAATAAAATAAGAAAAGAATAAAATTATCATCAAATATATATGAGAACATTTCTTGATTATTGTTGTAGATAAAATGTTTGAAAGTTAAATACTAGAGGAAGAAATTGTCGATACCGAATCAATTGAAAAATGTAAACAATGCAAAATAATGCTACGTCCCAAAACGCTTTCACTACAAATTTGAAAGTACGTCCTCGTCCATAAAAAATATGTTACGTTAAAATATAAGTACAGTATAAATTATTCATGTTAACTAATAAATAGTTTACCCAATATATGTATTAAATTAGGTACCTTCATGAGATCTCTAAAAAGAGCTAAAAAATAGCATAATGAAAAAGACGCCAAACTTGACGAAAACTAAATTTTATCGTCTAAATGTTTATGTTATTAAGAGAACAGATCAAAGTATTTTGGGGGTATTTTTTTTACATTTTTTATCGTTCCTAGCACGTCCAAAATTTTCGTTAAAAATCTTGTTTTTTAGTCAGCAAAATTAACAGATAATCAATCATGTCAACAATTTTTTTTCCATTTTATAAAAAAAATGAAAATCTCAGTTTGAAAATCTTTTAAAACTCAATTATAATTATTTCAAAACTTATTTTTTTAAAAATCAGAAATTATGTTTATTTAAAATATAAAAAACAAGCATTATTCGGTTTCTGCGCCAAAAAGATGTAGTTTGAAAATAAAACAAAGCAGCTCATAATATTTCGCGTCACTTGACAGGTGACGAAAGAAATTTTCATGACGTATTGATAGCTGACGTGAGGAAAATTTATTTTACGGAAGGAGAGAAGTGAAATTATTTAGATTTAAAATTATTTACCTCGTTATTTTTAAGGAAAACTTTCAGCGCTCTAACTTTGTTTTGGTACTTAGCTTTCACATTTACGATGCTTTATGGAAAATATATTATAAAGAAATTAAAATAAGACTGTTGAGAGTGAGATTAAATTTCATAAGAAAGTTATCTAATTAATTTATAGTTACCTCTCTTATGAAATTTTATCAGAAGTGTACATAAAATACAAATTTAAATTTCATAAGATGATACTGATACGTGTAGGTACCTTTCTCAGTTGAAACTGAAAAATCAAATTAACTTCTCCACATGTGTTTCGCAAAAATATATCTATCTCAAAAGGACATTTACGAAACTGAATGCGACTTTTAACTAATTTTATAATATTTTAACAACGTAAATGTAAAAATCTATTATAATTAAAGAAATAACAAATAATTGTATTAAAAATTCAGTATTTAAGTTAAATACTAGACAGAAACTGGATCCAGGTATCTTTACTTTTTATCGCACGCATGATACTTCCGGTCTTCCGTAAATTTGATTTGCAGTCGTATTATTGACACAAATATACTGGTGTCCGTTAGTTTGTAAGAAACTTTGATAAATATAATCTGTAAATATATATCTTCTTAATAACAACATTCGTTAAATTCTACAAACGCTTCCCTAATTTTAGAAGAATAAACAACATTTAATGTAAAAATAATAAAATATTTACGAAA